AAATGTTTTATCTGAATGCAAATTATCACCTCCTGTGGCCGCTCTTCCTCTCCAAACAATCAGAATTATTCTCTGCTCTTGGAATTTGCAATATTCACTCCGATTATCTCAGAGCCTGCTGGATTTTCCTGTGAAAAGGAAAATTTTCCAGCTCTAACACGAGCCCATCCAAGGCTCCAAGCTCGTTTTATAAAATTGTCAGATCACGCTCATTTTTGTACAAAACCCGCTGGGGGATGTAACAGCTCCGGTTCTTCCCAGGTTGTTCTTTCCCACCAAGGATTTCACCTTTGCATGACACTTTGCAGATCAAGCCTGAACCAGAGGCTGCTGCATTTCAAACAGACCAGCCCCAGGTATTCCTAGAGCAGGAATTCCCAAGGACCTTATCAGGAATTCCCCGGCTCTGCCCTCACCTCTGCGATTCCAGCTTTGCTTTAGCAATCCAGCAAATCTAAAAGCTTCACGTGGCTGTTTCCAAGGTAAAGAAATTCCAGCTGGAGATAAGAGAATATAAAATTAATGAAATGGAAGGTTTTAATCAGCTGGAGCGCCGCTCGCATCCCTGTGATCTCCATTGTTCTGAGGGGATCGCAGTCGTACGCGCTAACGAGAAAATTAATCCTTGCAGCAAATTAGTGCCCAAGATCAGGGTGCTTACGAAACAGCAGCTGATTAAAACCCACTTTTCCATTAGCTTTATGTGCCTGAGCTTCCAGGAGCTTGGGAAGAGGAGCTGAGGAACACAGAAAGCCAAGGAGAAGTGTGAAATTTGGGATAAGGTGATGAGCTACTTAAATACCTGACCGACCTCTGCTGGAAAAATTCCTCTTATCCCAGATGCTGAGACTGGGCTGGGAGTAAATACAGCTATGCCTTCTGTTATGACATTTTAAACACACTCTGGTTCTTTTTTAATTAAAAAAAAAAGGTGGAAAAAAGGGATTAAGATTCCAAAGGTGACAAAAATAGGGCAGGCAAGGGCACACCTTTGCAGCTCTGTGGGAGGTCGGTGGAATTGTCCTCTGTGAGCACCAAAACAGGCGAGAAACCACTGAATCTGAGCTAGGGTATGAAAAATCAGATGTCCTCACGTCTGTAGTCGGATATTCTGTGGCAAATTAACTCCTAAATATTCCAAAAGTCCTGACTGGGAGGGTTTATTTATATCAATGCCCTGATTGCCTGCTGGGATCAGCACACAAGTGGACACCGCTCCTTTGCTCTTCCCACCTTCCTCCCTCACTCTGCAAACCCCAAATCAACTTCAGGATAATCCAACCCCTCTGTTTCCCCCTCTTCCATCTCTCCTGGCCAACCCCACTGCATCCCTGAGTCCCAATTGCTGCTCTCTTTTTATAGGGAAAATGGGAATGGAGGGCAGAGGAAGGGCCATTATCTCCCTGGCCATATGGTGACTGCATCAGCTCCTTTTTAGAGCCTTTGACCTCCAGTTTAATCCCAAAAGGAAACTCAGATTCAGCCCTCAGCCGTGTCTGGACCCTGTCCTTTAAAGCCTCTTTGATCCCCACCATCACTCCCATAAAAATCAGGGTGAGCAGAAAGAAGTGGCGACAGCTTATTTAATTCAAAAAAGTTAGGCAATCATCAAATTAAACTGCTTTTCTTCATCAGTGACATCATCAGTGACAAAATGAACGGCCACAGGCTCCACCAAGCCACCAAATTCCCCGTTTTCTGATCAAAATGTTTGCCCACAAAACCTGAGTTAAGGCAGATAAACCCCGCTGCTCGCGCACCTCGGCAAATCCTTCAAGGCCGCAGGAATTTTTAAGTGGAAAAGGGACAGAAGATAATTCTTTGGAGCAATAATAACCCAAAGAGAAGGGAAAACGAGGTCAGGTCCCTGTGGGGGAGAAGGGTAATTTGACTTCTCCACCAGCCCAGGATTTATGGAACACACGGAGCCGTGGGAGCAGCGCCATCCCGATGCTGCCGCATCCTCGGGAATATCTGGAAGTTTCACCAGCACTGCTAAAAAACAGCTATTCCTGATGGATATTGCCCCAAATCAGCCTGTCAGCAGGTTACAGCAAATAAAACACCTCGCAGCACGCTGGGTGTGACAGCAGCACAGGGAAGGAGGAGCGATCCTCCCTGGACAGCTCCCAGCTCTGGACAGCTCATCCCAGAAATTCCACAGGAACTGGGAAATTCCTGCCCTGGCCACCAGCACCTCCTCACTGGGGAGTCACCACTCGTTTATTGCTGCTTCTAGAACAGCAGAGGCAAAATAATTCTCATTTCAGTCAGGTTGGATTGGTGTTTGTCCTCTGTCCAAAGCACCAAATCCTTCAGGGATATTTGGGAATGAAATAATGCTCCAAACCCCTGGATGCAGCAGCCCTCCCTCCAGTTTTCCCGGATTAAAACACAAAGCTGAAGGAATTCTCTTTCCCAGGAGTGAATCAAGGAGCAGGAGCTGATTCCAGCAGGGGCCAGGGGGCACTGAGGGATCCCGATGGAATATTCCACATTCAAGGCTGAAAGGAGGGAGATTCAGAGGGGTTGTTGGGAAAAAAAATCCTTCCCTGGGATGGTGGGGAGAGAATTCCCAGAGAATCTGCGGCTGCCCCACCCCTGGAAGTGTCCAAGGCCAGGCTGGAGCAACCTGGGATTGTCCAGGATGAGCTTTAATGTCTCCTTTATCCCACTTAAAGTCTCAAAAAGGCATCTTGGCTGATTTTTTTCAAGAAATAATAAGTTTTTAAGCAATCAGCAGTATTGGGAGAGAAGCCCACCAGATTCATTGATGGCAAGACAACAGCTACAATAATTCTCTTTTTTGCTTCACCTCCACTCTTTGTTTTATTCCACCCTTTCAGTACAAACCAGCTGAGTTTTTCTTGGTTTTTTGGTTGTTTTTAATCAGGAACTGCTGTAAAAAAGAGGTTTTGGAAAGGAGAGATTTACAAGGCCTTCCCTCCAGTACACAAAATGAATCACCCTGATTCTGTTGTTATTTTATGTTCACAGCAACCAGGGAGGGGGCTGGAGGAGCAGAGATGTTCCCAAAAAATGCAACATTTAACAGCCTCCAGCATTTGAGTGCTCCACAACAACTGAGTCATTAAATAACGCCTAAAAAGCCAAATAATAATGAAAAAAAACCCTCTTCTTAAGTGTATATTAAAGTGTAATCTAAGTTAATACAAGGAATGGGAATATAATTATGAAAAGATGTGGATTTTCAGCCTTTTTGCTGCTCAGAACTCTGAAGTGGGAGAGAATTTAATCCTGACCAAGCTTTGTTTTCCCGACAGCATTCACCTTTTCTCAGAAGTGGCCCATAATCCAACCCCAGACTGGAATTACCGCCTTAAATGCTGATTTTATTGGCAAAAAGGGAGTGTTAAACACACCCACGCCACCCACCCACCCCGTGCTAAGCCTAAAACTGGCTTTGGTGTGAATTGCAGCATTTCCTGCAGGGTAATTTCTGCTTTTAACTCGAGGTTTTTGCATCTCTCAGCCCTCCTCTCTTCCCCTCTCCGCGGCAGAAAGCTTCCACAAAAATCGGGATAATTGCACCGGGATTGTTCTGCCTCAGGCTGGGGCTCCAGGGAATTATTCCTCTGCTTCCAGCAAATGGCTTTTAAGTAAAAATGATGTATCTGACAGTTCTCTGAAAGGTTTAAGGTGCAACAAAAAGGCTGAAAAATGAGCAGGATTGTTGGCCATTATCAGGGAAAAAAGTGGGATTTTAATCATAAACGGTGTCCACACCCCAGGTGATGTGCCCTGGACAAGGACAAGGCTTGGAAAAAAACAGGGAGAGGGGAAGGGAATTCAAATTATCCCAGGAATGAAGCAGCAAAACTGCAGGAAGGAAGGCCAGCACTTGGAGAAGGACACTGCAGGGGAAAAGCTGGAATGATTCCTGTTGGAGAGAAAAAGCCTGGGGGATAAAACTGAGCCTTCCAAAACCTCAGGAGGGTTTTAACTACACCACAGTCCAAGAGGGGGTTGAAGGAAATCAGCAGAAAAATGGTTTAAAATAGGTGGATAGAGGATAAATAAATGAAATTATTAAATTCCAGCATGCTTTGGGTGGGAAGGATCCTTAAATCCCATTCCCATTCCAACCCCGACATTTTCCAGGATCCCAGAGCGCTCCAACCTTGCCTTGGACACTTCCCAGGTGCAGCCACAGCTCCTCTGGGAAATTCTGTGCCTCAGAATTTTCCAGAACCAATTCTGCAACAAAATTAACTCCTTTTGCTCTGTTTTACAGTAAAATCCTTTTGCTCCGTGTTCAGGATAATCGGAATCTGCAGACCCATCCAAAGGAGCCACTGCAATCCAAGCTCACAGCTCCTCCAAAGAGAAAATTTCAGGGGAAGGACCTCAATTTTAAAAAATCCACCACATTTAATCCCCAAACTCTTCCACAGACAAACCACACGAAGCCAAAGCTTTGTATTATTTAACAAGAACAGTGAAATTCAGTTTTTGTGCTGTCAGGAAGAGCATTCCAAGATGAAAACACAGCATCATTCTTTCATTTCTCACAGATTTACCCCCAGGGGTTCCCAAGTACTTTAAAAAATACAAATAAACCAAATCTGCACAAATCCCTCACAGAATTTTGAGCAGGTTGAGAGCAAGAACTTGATTAATATTCTGAATTTCCATTCATTTTAGTCTTATCACAGAATACCAAGTGAGGAAACTCCTTGGCTAGGATGGAAAATAGACTGCAAAAGTCCTGTATAAATAAGACTTGAGGTATTTAAAATAACAAACACACCCAGAGCATTTCTCACTCAGTGATATTAAATTAGGCAGAATCTGTAGTCATGGAATATTTTGACTATTTAGAATATGGCATTTGGGGTTATATTTGAATTATTCAATACCTTGATAATCTTTTTTTTTCCCCCCCCCATGAAAACTTATGAACTGCTGGTGAGTAAAGGCCAAAATTAAGTAAATAAAGATGCATTTGTGAAATAAAAAATGAAAATAAACGGGTTTACCTCCATTGCCAGAGCTGCTGTTTGCTGGTCGTAGTGGTTGAGGAGGTTGGGCATGAAGGTGGTGTTGTAGGGCAGGTCCTGGCACATCCTGAGGATGATGGGCTCGCAGGAGAACAGGCTGTGCCCTCCCGTGGGGGCCAGCCAGACCCCCAAAATCCACAGGGAACGCAGCAGCCAGCCCAAAGCCATCCTTCCACCCCGCCAACGGGGCCGGCACATCTTCCAGCTCCGCGTGATTTTCACAGGAATATTCCCAGGCCTTGCTTGAGGTTCCTCTTCCCAGCTGGAAGAGTTTGTGTGTTCAACATCCTCGGCTCAGTCCAGACAGATGGGAGAGAAATCTTCCCCTTTTTTTCCCCCCCTTTTTTGCCTCAGTCCTCCGTGGCAGGAATTAAATATCACAATTTCAGCCACATTCCCACACCACCGACCCCATGGTGACGGGGCAGCGCTCCAGGGGCTTCCTGATTCCTTCTTTATTTTCCTGGAAAACCTGGAGCACAAAGCACAACAGACAGAACATGTTAAAAAGCCTTGTCATCCAGGGAAATATTAAAATATTTCACCTCTGAGGTTCCTAAACTGGCAGACAAAACCGCTTCAAGTTCTCCTGTGCAAGGCTACAAGGTTCCTCCTGCGAGTTTTAATCCTGATTTTTTTAAAATTTCTGGAGGAAATTAACAGAAGATGGAGGAACTGAATGGAAGGATCTGATGGAAGAATGGAAGGGAAGAACTTGATGGAAAACAGAGGAATTGAATGGAAGAAAAGCACCCAAAAATGGTGAAAACGTGGGGATGGTACTGGTTGTGACAGAATGTTTTTAGAAAGATTTAGCTTGGCCACACTGAAACCAGGCTGTTTGTGACTCACTCACACCGATAGCATCTCCTTCCCTGCACGGCCTCGGAGCTCCTGAGGAATAATTATAAAACAAAAACAAAAATAACATTCACCAGCACCACCAACCCCACAAGTCCCAGCTCGCCACTGGCCTGCCCAGGGAGGTTTGGCTACCTGGGCTCAAAGATGGCATTTTAATCTGCTTTTTTTTGTTGTTGTTGTTGTTGTCCCAAACCCATTTTAATTGCTCCAGAAACCACCCCAGCAGCTGAGGGGAAGCCAGAAAATGTGTTTTGGCCGCCCCTTTTCTCCACACAATCCCCAAAAAGGGAAATTTTAGGGCTGACCTGCCAGTTCTGCTCTCCCTGTGGAGCCAATTTAAATAGGAATCGCTGCTTAGGGCTGGACCTGGGTTTTCTCAGCACAATGGTTGTGCTCATCCGTTTCAAACTCTGAAACTGGAGGTGGGAAAAGCCCACAGAGCACTCAGAGCACAAAACAGCCCGTTTTTCATAAAAATTTTGTCTTACAACGGTAAAATTTGCAAAATCCAGTCTCTAACTGGCTGCTTTAAAGTGAATTATCATTTAAGAAAGGAAGAGAAATTTAGAAAACCCCAAATATTCCATCAATATTCCCAAAAGCAGGCAGCCACGAATCTGAACAGATTCCCAATCTTGAGGAGCTTTTCCTCAGAAAAAAGTTTTTCCTTTCTGCCAATGGTGAGAGATAGGAAGAATTTAATTACCAGATGTGTTATGTACATTTTTATTTACACAGGCCCATCTTATGGTCAGAAAAATTAAGATTTCAAAGCCTTTGTGGGTTGGATTGGATAATTTCCAGAGGTTCCTTCCAACCTAAACAATTCTGGGCTCCTCTGTGAGAGGGGAAAGGGTTTGGCTGGAGATTTTTGGAGACAGGCTGGTTAAAAACAAACATTCAAAGAGGGGGGAGGAAAAAAAAAAAAGAAAAGAACCCCAAGCTTGCTAAAGATAACCAGGTTAAATTCAGTTTATTGGCAACTTTGCTTTCACAGGCTGCTTCTCCCTCTCACAGGGATTGGCAGGGAAGCCGTGGCTGAGGCAGCAGTGAAAAGAAGGGAAAAAATAGAAATAGGAAAAGTTCCAGAGTCAGGAAAAACAAAACATGAGCAAAAATAAACATTAAAAAAAAGGGAAAAAGAGAGCTACCTACACACCTGAGGTGGGAGAAGCAACACAGCTCAAACCTCAAATGTTGTGTTCTGAAGGAAATGCTGCTGTGAAGAGTCAACACACTGGGTTTAGAAATATTTAACAATATTTAACATATTTTCCATGTAACCCCAGCTGATTTTAGGTCCATTTCCAAATGATACGAGCTGGAAAAGCTCTGATTTAAGAAATGTCATTTCTCAGATTGATTTTTCCATAATTTGGCGGCTCTGGAAAGAGACAAGGAGCTGAACTGCCCCATCTGCCAGGCAGCATCAGCAGCCCTGGACCTTCCTGCACATCCCCACCTCCTGAGCAGGAGGTCACAAATCAGACAGATAAAACCAATCCCTGCTCAGTTTTGTGAAAGAAAGATTGGATAATATTGTATAATTGGATAAATAAATGGTCCCTTCCAACCCAAACCAGTCTGTGATCCCATGTTGGACAAGGTGCTCAATCCCCCCTGGAATCCATTCCCTTGGGTTTAACATTTTAATAACAGTTCCTCAAAACTCATGGGGAAAAAAAAACGCTTTTTGAGTTTATTGGCATCTCCAGAACTCTGGATTCACAATTTTTTGTTTGTTTGTTTCTCCTAAACCAATTCCAAAGGATTTTATTCCTCAGTTGGAGTGAGGTCCCCCTGCAGTGTGGATGAGCGAGGTTTTCAGTGTAATTGAGGCATAATTGCAGTGATCTGTAAAAAACCGTCACAAAAAAGGGTTCAGAAGCAGCCTAAGATGAGCTGTGCTCACACCAGTTAAAGTCTGCACCACAAAAATTGGGCAAATCCAGGACAGGATGTGAAGTTTTGGGGAAAAAGTCCAAGAATGCTCCATAGAAATCATATTATTGACACACAAAACAGCAGGATCCAAACACATCCACCTCTCCTCTGCCTTCCCCACAGCCTCAAGCTGAAGAAAACATGCAAAAAAACAAAGATTCAACGAGCCACAAAAAGAAAAAAAAAAAGAAAAAAAAGTTTTAACTATGCAAAAAGCAGAAAAAAATTTCATGGTGTCCCTTCGGGACTTTTCCATTTCACGTTCAAGATAATAATTAGAGTATCATAAAGAAAATTAAGAATGTATATAACAGGAGGTGGGAAAGCACATCAAAACAGACAACCTGGGAAAACTGAAATAATTCGGGGTGAAACGAAGCAGAAAAGAGAAGGATTCCATTGCAAAAGGAGCTCCAGGTTTTGCAAACCAGCCTATGGATGATCCATTAATTGGTGCAGACAGACAAGTGCTGTAATAAGCAACCCTCAGTGTCAGGAGAGTTCCTCACCACAGATCCAGTTTGTGCACTCTTTGTTAAGCCTCTGCATAGGAGATTTTGTGGTTATTTTTGTATGTATATAAAAACAAAACACTTTTGATGACACTGGGGATAAAAAGAGGAGGGGAGGCCTCCCCTCTCACCACAAGGATTGGAAATAAAACGCAGGCAAAAGGAGGAGTTTATTCGTGTGGTTGTGGATTTTTACAGTATTTATCAGCAGGAGAAGCACATCCAATTCTTTCTGGGAAGGATTAATTAAGACATGCACGGACAATTATTATAAACAGTGAAAATCATGAGGAGAAAGGGTTGATTCCCACAAGGAATTTTTTTTTCAGAAGCTAAATTTCAAAGTCCCTAAGGGATCAACGAGGAAAAAGAAAAAACTCATTAATCCCAGTATCTGGGATTAATTCCCAGTTATCTGTCCCAGAGAAATGGGGAGACAAAACAACAAACCAGACTCCTCCTGGAGGAGAGGAAAATGTCCTCTCAGCCATTCCCCACCCAATTCTGACCCTGGAGAAAGGAGATGAACTCATTCATTGCATTTCCCCAGCCCTTTCCCACCCACACGAAGGCACAACAGGAGAATAAATTATTCTCCCAACTCCATTCTAATTAATTACTCAGTGGGAATGAAACTCCAGCGCTGTTCCACTCCGTCTTGAGGGGCAGCCACACTGTAATCCCCCACATCCCCTATTTCAATTAGGAGCAGAGGGAGGATGGAGAGGCAGAAACAACCCTGGTGAGATTTTCCATGATTGTTATGGAATCACTGAATGGTTTGGGTCGGAGAGGACTCTGAAGCTCACCTAATTCCTGCACCACGGGCAGATATGAAGGGACAGATCTGTCACCTCCCCGCGAGCTCCGAATCCATGGGAAGGGCCTGGAGAGGGAAATCTTGCTGTTCCCTGGCACGGGAAGCAGGCAGGCTGCCGGCTGAGCCAGCATCCCTTTTGGAAAGGATATAAGCGCATCCCCTGGCATCGCTGCCGCACGGCCGAGGCGCAGGGAGCAGCGGATCCACGCCCGGAACACCCGCACCGCCTTCCCGGAGGGATCCGGGGAGTGCACGGGCAGCGCCGGCATCTCCCGATGGGGAATCAGCGAGGGGCGCTGAGGCTCCGGTATCCCCGATGGGGGAATCAGCGAGGGGCGCTGAGGCTCCGGTATCCC